ACCCAGAGGTGAAACCCAGGTCTCCTGCACTGCAGGCAGATTCTTTACCAGCGGAGCTACCAAGGAAGCCCAACAAATTCAACATATTTCGTTAAAAATCCCAAGAAGGTTTCACAAAAAACTTGACAAAGATAGTTAAGAGGGGGAAAGTATACACAAGAGAAACTGGCAAAAGTGAATAAAGTCCCTGGAAAAGAACTGTCCTACCTAGTCTAGTACAGTAATTAGACAGTAAGTAGTGGTGTAGACGTAACCAAATGTAACAATGTAACAGAATATAGAGGCCAGAAAAAGACACATGCATATTGGAAACAATGTAGAAAGAGGCAGTGTTAAAATCAATGGGGGGGGGGAGACTATTAAATGATGCTGGGACAAGTGATTATCCATACAAGACAAAAATTAAATTACCACCTCTCACCACTCATGAAATTACAGGTGTACTAAAGACCTAAATACAGGTATACTAAAAACTTAAAGACCTTTTCAAATTAGAAGGAAATATAGAATATCTTCATGAATTCACAGTTAAGGAAAAATTACTAAATACATGGAAAGCAAGAAACAAAGAATTACTAAACATGACTACACCAATTTTTTAAAAAATTCTTAACAGACTCCAAGAACAAAACTGAAAGACAAGACATTAGGTAAAGTAATTCCCCTCCCTCCAAAAAGGGGGGAAAGGAGAGCTCCTACTAATTAATAAGAAATATACACAACCAAAATCTATTAAAGATTTTTAAATATATTAAGGCACACACAGATAAATGTGATGTAAATTCTTGTCAAGATTCTAGTTCTCAGGAATTCCCTGGCAGTCCCAGTGGTTAGGATTTGGCATTCACTACTGGGGCTCAAATTCAATTTCTGGTCAGGGAACTAAGATCTCTCGAGCAAGGTTTGATCTCTGGGTTGGGAACATCCCTTGGAGAAGGGAACAGCGACCCACTCCAGTGTGACCAAAAAAAAAAAAGGTTCTAGTTTTCACCTGAATGATGGACTCATGTGTGATCACAAGAAACAACAATGACTGGGTAAATTATTCTGTGTCATGAATCACAGATGATTTATCTAATTGTGTACAAGCTGATGAAGCACAAGCTGGAATCAAGACTGCCAGGAGAAATATCAATAATCTCAGATATGCAGATGACCCCACTGAAGAGCCTCTTGATGAAAGTGAAAGAGGAGAATGAAAAAGCTGGCTTAAAACTCAGCATTCAGTGCTCGCTTCGGCAGCACATACACTAAAATTGGAACGATACAGAGAAGATTAGCATGGCCCCTGCGCAAGGATGACACGCAAATTCGTGAAGTGCTCCATATTTTTGCATGAGACAAGTGCTCGGGGCTGGTGCACTGGGAAGACCCAAAGGGATCAGGTGGAGAGGGAGGTGGGAGGGGGATCGGGATGGGGAATACATGTAAATCTATAGCTGCTTCATGTCAATGTATGGCAAAAACCATTACAATACTGTAAAGTAATTAACCTCCAACTAATAAAAATAAATGGAAAAAAAAAAACCTCATCATTCAAAAAACTAAGATCATGGCATCTGGTCCCATCACTTCATGGCAAATAGATGGGGAAACAATGGAAACAGTGAGAGACTTTATTTTCTTGGGCTCCAAAATCACTGCAGATGGTGACTGCAGCCATGAAATTAAAAAATGCTTGCTCCTTGGAAGAAAAGCTATGACCAACCTAGACAGCTCATTAAAAAGCAGACACATTACTTCGCCAACAAGAGGTCCATCTAGTCAAAGTTATAGTTTTTCCAGTGGTCATGTATGGATGTGAGAGTTGGACTATAAAGAAATCTGAGTGCCAAAGAATTGATGGTTTGGACTGTGGTGTTGGAGAAGACTCTTGAGAGTCCCTTGGACTGCAAGGAGATCAAAGCAGTCAATCCTGAAGGAAATCAGTCCTGAATATTCATTAGAAGGACTGATGCTGAAGCTAAAGCTCCAATATTTTGCCACCTGATGTGAAGAACTGACTCATTGGAAAAGACCCTGATGCTGGGAAAGACTGAAGGCAGGAGAAGGGGACGACAGAGGAGGAGATGGTTGGATGCCATCACCGACTCGATGGACCTGAGTTTGAGTAAGCTCCAGGAGTTGTTCATGGACAGGGAGGCCTGGCGTGCTGCAGTCCATGGGGTTGCAAAGAGTCGGACACGACTGAGCAAACGAACTGAATTTTGTACAACTGAGGTTGGTCAAAGGAGAGGTTTAAAACTGATTTTATCAGTTTCCCATCTACAGTGTAGGAGGAGAAGGGAGTAACAAAGGATAAGATGGTGGGATGGCATTAGTGACTCCATGGATATGAGTTTGAGCAAACTCCAGGAGATGGTGAAGGACAGAGAAGCCTGGCATGCTGCAGTTCATGAGGCACAGAGTCAGACATGACTGAGCAACTGAATAATAATGACAACATCTAAAATGTGAAATCCATTCACATGAATTGATTCCTTTTAAATATGTTGGGTAGGGACTTCCCTGGTGGTCCAGTGGCTAAGACTCTGAGCTCCCAGTGCAGGGGGCCCAGGTTTGATCCCTGGTCAGGGAGCTAGACCCCACATGCTACAACTAAGACCCAGAGCAGCCAAATAAATAAATAAAATTTTAAAAATAATAATAATAAATATGTTGGGTAAACTAAATAACATTTATTAATACTAAACCATGGACAAACTTCTTTTTCCAATTTCCCAACAGGCTGTGTCAATTTTTTCTGATTTAGTTGCTTCTTAATGTAATTCCTAATTTGTAAGAAAGCTGCAGCAGCATAGAGGGTCACGGTTATCTTACTTGCTAGTGCAGCAACTATATCTAAACAACCTAACAGATCAGTAAGAGGAAGGACAATTCCGTTTATATGACACTCAAGAAAAGGTCCCATAGGAACAGAAGACAGATCAGTGGGAAGGAATTGATCTCAAAGGGCACAAGGAACTTTTGGGGGTGATAGCACTGTTCACATCTTGATTGTGGTGGTGACTGCATAATGATACAAACTGAATTTGTCAAAATCATGGAAATGTAAGGATGAATTTCACTACATGTGATTAAACTTCAACAAACTAGATTTTAAAAGGAGAGGACAATGCTACAAATTTAACCTATTAAAGAGACATTATTGTACAGTATTAACATTATCATCATACTAAGAAAAACTGCAGCTTGATAATCTAAACTTATGTACAGTTTAACTCACAACTTCCTCCCCCAAAAAACCTTAACTGTTCTTAGCCATTTTATTGCTAAAATTAATCCTTTTAAATTTGGAACTCAATTCCTAAAATAGTTTGGATTCATATATCATTGTTCGATTTTTTTTAATTATCTACCAAATCTGATGGAAATTATGTATGTAGTTTATAATGCTGATATGACAGCCTCAATAGTATCAATGTCTATTTTTTCTTTGTTACTAAATCATGCATTTTTATGCATTGTCCTCTCATTCTTACATAACCATATGAAATAGGAATAATTATCCCTGTATTAATGATGACTATTTTAACAGAATTCTTTATGTTTAAGAGCATGTGCAACTTAAGAGCCTGTTGGCCACTGTATTCCCAGAATACAGTAGGTACTCAATAAGAATTTATAGACTGTTGGCCTCACCTCTATGTGACCTTGGACAGTTATTTATCTCTTTCAATTTCAATATCCTCATCCATAAAAAGATAGTGAAACAATTCTAGGAAGTCAGTGTGTTTAGTTCTTTTAAGCCTTCCTATAAAGTACATGGCACACTATGAATACTGAATGAATGTGACCTTATTATCTCTTTGATAGCATTAGTCAGAATTGTATCATACTGCCAAAGCTTCATATTAACAATAAAGCAGTAACAGAATAGACGATTATACCTAAAACCTAACTGCTCCTCATGCCAAACTGAGATGTTCAGTGTTACCTGTTAAAACAAAAATCAGTACATCTTAAAGGGATAAAAAGTAAACTAATGAATCTTTTAAGGAAAGAAGAATCCCCTTCTGAAAATGGAACTTGAGTGTGAGAAGTTATATAGTTTACAAATATCTGGGCCCATAAGTCAGGGTTGGAAATTATTTGGGCAGCAAGAGGTCATTGTCATAGGACTTACTTTAGGGCAAGGTGAGTCATCTAGATATAAACTGGATCCCAGAAAATGACAAGATAAAAGAAACTGCATTAAATTATTTGAAGAGATTTTAGAGTTCAATTTATAGAAGAAGAAACAGACTGAACAGGCTAATTGGAAAATCAAGTAAGATAACTTGCCAAGCAAAAAAACAATTCCGCACTTCAGGAGTCCCCCACCGTAGACAACAGTATCTTAAAATCCAAAAACAATTCCGCACTTCAAGAGTCCCGCACCATAGGTAACAGTATCTTAAAATCCGCCTTTACTCATGGCCCTGAGTTCTGACACACAGAAAAAGATACAGAATCACATACAGATAAGAAGTGAACTTAGATAGTTTGTAACATCATCCAAGTTCTGTTTAAGGTATTCCGATGCTTTTCTTGCCAGGGCATGTTTCAGTTGGTTTCTTCATGGACCAAAGAACTACAGTGGCCAGGTTTCTGGGTGTAGTCTAACAAATGTTGGTTTGTTCAATTAATTTCAGGATGATGAAATCTAGGAGGGAATTATCATCTAAAAATATTCCAAATAGTCAAACATTAGAGTTATTTAAAGAACTGATGAGCAAAGAAACAGCAAGACAAAATCAACCTGACTTGGCTGCCCACAGTTACAACTGGAGCTAAAATTGATACCGCTGCCTAGCTATACTCCTTTAATATTTTTATCCTCCTAATCTCTATTACCTCTTCACATACGCTTAAATTCTAGGGCAGTAATAAGGGAATAAGCATAACAAGGGAGGAATTGATCACATTAAGCACATCTTAGAATCCAACCTATCTTGAAGATGCAGATAAGCAACAAAGGTCTGATTTTTTTTTTTTCCCTGCTGCACCAAGAGGTATGCATGGAACCTGAGCCCCCAGCAGTAGAAGGGTGGAACCTTAAGTACTGGAGTGCTAGGGAAGTCCCCAAAGGTTTGATCATTAATCAGTAACCCTACACTTAAATGAATATTCATTTCTATACTTACCCCACAAACTATCTGTAAGAAATACTATAATGGTGGAAATAAATGTTCAGCCACGTATATTCTATGAATAAGGACATTTCCAAATCAAGCAAGAACCAGACAAAAGAATATGTACTTGGACGTTTGGTTAGGGAAAAAGTAACACTCAAAAGTCACTGGCTTGGGTCTTCCCTGCTGGTCCAGTGGCTAAGACTCCATGCTCCCAAACCAGGGGGCTAGGGTTGGATCCCTGATCAGGGAACAAGATCCCACACACCACAACAGAGATCAAAGATCCTGCAGGTGCGCTGCAACTAAGACCTGGCACAGCAAAATTTAAGGAAAAAAGGTCATTGGCTCATCCCATGACCACTGTGCAGATGTTTAGAGTCTCAAGCCTGGTCACTCTAGCTCTTGCACACCCAAAAGGAGATACAAGAAAAGACTTGTTTTGACTGGATTAAGGCAGTCAAGCAACTGCTTTATGGGAAGCTGAAGCAAGCGGTGATCTGACTGTATGACAGATTCCCAGTCATGAAGAAACCTCAAATCTACTTAGGCTCTATTCAGCAAAACAAACTGGGAAAATTTTTCCTTTTGAAGGAGAGACCCTAGTACAGATCATTCTAAAGCCTCTGGCAACTTCTTCACTTTTGTGATTTAAAAGGAAGCAAAGAACCGCTCTTTACAACAAACTTTTTTAATATTCTGGTTCAACAGGATATGAATTCATTAGTGTGAATTTATCCTAGAGGAAAGTCAATAACCAGCCTAGCCTAAGAGTATTTTTTCCTCTTCCAAACAACGAAGGGATAATAGTAGTTAACATTTATAGAGCACTTACTCCATGCCAGCATTATTCTAAGCCTGCTATATGTATTCATCCAGTAAATCTACACAATCCTACAAAACAAGTATAATTCCCCATTTTACATCTGGGGAAACTGAAGCACCAGGAGATTTTTTTTTTTTTTAAGGAACTTACTCAAGGTCAAACAACAAACAAATAGAGATTAGCAGTCTGGATCCAGAGTCTATGCTCTTTAAGTTTTTCTGCCTCATGATTATACAACTGTTTTTAACATTAAAACTGTGAAAGAATCACATAGAACCTCTCCCACCTGACCCTGGGAGATTTCTCTACCTACTTCCTTATTGGCTCATAACATAGGCTAATCAGAAAAGTTCAAATACACTAAATGGGAATTATATATATCTTATCTATATAAGCATACATTTCTCCCTTTCCCCAAAAAAATGGGGGAAGTGGTGCAAGGAGGGAATTAATTATTTAACTCACAAATTCTCTCATATCAAGTCCTGTAGGCCTAAGGGAGAAACTGACAGCTCTTTCTCCTTTGCTCTCTTTAGGGGTTGAGCTTTTTTTCTTTTAGAAAGAAGCGTTGGCCTGCAACTCTCTATTAGTAACAAGCAAAGCTTTTCAGGCATAAGCTTTCAATCTTAATTAAGACTTGCCCATATGTATTACACCTGGAACCAAAATATAAACTTTCTTATAGTATTAAATTAAAAGGGCCCTGCAGAAGTAGCTAGGGAGAAAAGTGCACCCAGTCTCTCACTTTGAGGCCTGAACTACTTATGAACAAATGCATGCCTATTTTAACTTGAAGAACTAAGTATTATCTTCTCCACTGCACCTGGAACTCTAATCCCTAGGCAAGAATCTTTGCCACTGTTACAACTGTACTACAAATTCAAAGCTTTAAAGACATTGATTTTTTTGTTGTATTTTTCAGTAAATTTCAAGGAAGAAACAGGAAAAGTTACTTTCCCTTCTATCCTTTATAAAATCATTTATAGAAAACCCTTCAGAAATTTAATCACTCAGAAGTTGCTAAAAAGAATAAAACTGTATCAGTTCAGTTCAGTTGCTCAGTTGTGTCCGACTCTTTGCAAGCCATGGACTGCAGCATGCCAGGCTTCCCTGTCCATCACCAACTCCTGGAGCTGGCTCAAACTCAAGTCCATCGAGTCAGTGATGACATCTAACCTTCTCATCCTCTGTCATCCCCTTTTCCTCCTGCCTTCAATCTTGCCCAGCATCAGGGTCTTTTCTAAGGAGTCAGCTCTTTGCATCAGTTGGCCAAAGTACTGGAGCTTCAGGCTATAATTAACTCCTGAGTTAAAAATGTTAAGTCACTGAAATATTTCTCCACTATTTCCCACCACACTTAGAAAACAATCTAAACTCTAACGTGGTCTTTATAAAGATAGCCCAGTGGAAGCCCACCCCACCTCTCTGATCTCATTCATCCCTTAATTTCTCTTTCACTGGCTTGCTGAGCTCTAGCCACACCGGCCCTGCTCCTGGAACACTCCAAGCTTGTTCTGCACCTCCTATTCTCTAGGCTACAAAGCTCTTCCAGATCATGAACAAACTGAATCCTCCTCACCCATCATGCAGATTTCACCTCAAATACCACCTCTTCAGAGAGACATTTTCTTCATGGCTCCCCTCCCACCAAAATTGTATCACATTTCCATGTAGCTGCCTTATCATTCTCTATTTGAGATCACAATACCCTACTGTGGGCTTTCCTGGTGGCTCAGCTGGTGAAGAATCCTCCTGCAATGCGGGAGACCTGGGTTCAATCCCTGGGTTGGGAAGATCCCCTCGAAAAGAGAAAGGTTACCCACTCCAGTATTCTGGCCTGGAGAATTCCATGGGCCGCATAGTCCATGGGGTAGCAAAGAGTCGGACACAACTGAGCGACTTTCACTTTACCCTATTTTATTTGTTCATTACATTTATCATTATCTAAAATTATCTTGTTAATATGTTTAACGTATGTCTCCTCTAACAAAATATAAAGTTCCATGAAAACAAGTACTACATTTATCTCATTTACTATAATCTCTCAAGGAACTAAAGCAAATAAATACTATACTATTAAATGTGCAGGCTCATATAAAGACTTTGATATTTTATAACCATTCTAACACATTATATTGCTCTCGTGGGCTTCTTCTGCTGTTTTTACCCATTAGCACCTACTGTGAGAGAATTAAGCAGCAAGAAATACAAATAAACATGTAGACTTTATAATATATAAGCAATTCAGAAAATGAACTAAGGTTTCAGAATTAATAGCATGTTTTTCAAATTGTACACTGATCCTACTTATCAGTAAACAATAGTATTGTAAGTAAATTGCTAATTATGTTTAAAAAGAAACTATCAGATGAAATTTAGCATTTATGAGTAATATACTTTTATGCATATCATGAAATACAGATTAAAATAATATAATTTAGAAATAAAACAAACTTCATTTTAGTATTTATCATAGCTTACATATCATCTTCTACTTAAAATTTAATTTCATCTCCAAACAAAAAAACCATGTTTAAAAAAATTAAAGGAAAGTATGACAACTATAACTCATAAAATAGGCAGTCTCAATAAACATACAGATATTATTTTTTAAAAAAAGAATAAATGTAAATCCTGGAGTTAAAAAGTATTAACAATTTTAGAGTTGAAAAATATTAAGAACCAAAATTTGGGGAAATTCCCTGTATATCCAGCAATTAGGACACAAAGTTTTCACTGCCAATCCCTGGTGGGGGAACTAAGATCCCAAAAGCCACTTGGTGCAGGTGGAAAAAAACAGAAAGAACCAAAATTTTAAATTCACTAGCAGAGTTCGAGTGGATTGGAGATGACAGAAGAAACAGCCAATGCACTTGAAACTATATCAATCTGTGTGGAAGTTGCTCAGTGGTATCCGACTCTTTGCAACCCCATGGACTATAGCCTACCAGGCCCCTCTGTCCATGGGGATTCTCCAGGCAAGAATACTGGAGTGGGTTGCCATGCCCTCCTCCAGGGGATATTCCCAACCCAGGGATCAAACCCAGGGATCAAACCCAGGTCTCCCGCCTTGCAGGTGGACTCTTTACCATCTGAGCCACCAGGGAAGCCCACCAATTATGAAGAAAAGAAAATAATTTAAAAAAATTTTAAATTAACAGATCCTCAGAAATATACGAATACCATGAAGCATGGCAACATACACGTAATGAGAGTCCTAGAAAAAAGAATAGAAAAATATGTGAAGAAATTATAGATAAAACTTACAAAATGGTTTAAAAATGTTAACCACTACATTTAAGTTTACTGAATCAAAAGGAGGATTACACAAAGAGATCCACACCCAGACATAAAACTGTAAAACTGTTGACTAAGAAAATCGTGAAAACACAAAAAGAAAAACTACTCATCAGAAACAATACAGACCAGAAAGTAGATGACATATTCAAGATGCTAAAAGAAAAAAAAATGCAGCAAAGAATTCTATATCCAGCCAAAGTACTCTTTAAATATAAAGGCAAAATAAAAACAAGCCCAAGAAACAAAGACTGAGATAATTCATTAGTAACAAACTTTCCTTATAAGAAATCCAAAAGGAAGCTCATGAGACTGAAAGGAAATAATCAGCCCATAAATCAATACATAAAAAGAAATAAAGAATACATAAACTGTAAATATGTGATACTTTATTTTATTTTTTGATAAATATTTTAAAAACTGTTTAAATGTTTTCTTCTCTTAACTATCTTTAAAAACATACAATTATATTAAAATATTGTAAAATTGTATTGTTGGGCTCCTAAAACATAAAAATTTCGTATATATGACAATCTTGACAGGACAGGGGAAAAAAACAGAGCAAAGTTTTTATATTTTACTATAATTAAATCAGTCAATTCTGAAGCAAACTGATAAGATACACACTGTAACCCCTAAAGCAACTTAAGAAAATAACTTTTAAAAATCCAGTTAAAAAAATTAACAAAGGAATTAAAATGATAGCCTGGAAAATAACTATTAACTCCAGAATAGGCATTAGAGGCCAAAGAAAGAAATAGAAAAGAAATAAGACATATGGAAAATAACTAGCAGAACTGCATAAATCTTACCATCAATGATAACATTAAATG